ATGAAATGGAAAAGAAAAATAAGGAAAAGAACCAAAGCAAGTAGTGCCCTCTAGGAATTAAAAATGAAATTAGAACTAATCTGCTTATCAATGATTGGGGAGGGAAAGGGGTGAAATTGAAGTTATTGATTAAAGCAAAGAGATTTTTGTGGCTATTGGAGTCCTCATGGAAATCTATTTACAACTGAGGAAGTTTTTTTGAATCATTTTAGCAAAACTAAAATTGAATTTGTGGGTTGCAGCTTAACAGTGTTGGCAAAATGGTGATTTATTTGTTTCACGATTCATGCTACTAATGCGGAATTTTAAAGCTCATTTTGTTGTCCAATGTATAGCAAACTACATTGAGAGAAACGCTGTAAATTCATCAATAATTCATCCCAGGAACTTTAGGGACATTATTGCGCATTTTATTGACTGAAGGAATAAAATAAATTGAAAGTTAAATTTTTGTAAAATACATGCAATTTTTTAACTAACAAAGGGAAACATAACAACAACTGTACTTGGATTAGCAAGTAGGTATTGGGAAGAACTTGCGAGGGAAAATATAGGTAAAAAGAGCAAAGCGGGTGTTGAAAACTTGCAAGCACATGAAGATGTTTCTTCATGTGCTTGCAAGTTCAAGTGCAATGCTTCTGCAGCGATCATATGTTTCGGTGAAACCTCAGTAGTTGCTTGCTCGTGTCACTATCTATTAACACCAGTGAAAAGTGCAGCATCGTACGAGCGGGACCAGAACCTCCGTCGGTTTATTACGCGCCGAATTCTTTATCGCTAATGCAAAAGAGCTCTGTTGCGCTAGTTTCAAGTGGTCCCATTCAAATTTGCGAGTGTTGAGATGTACTCGAGATTCCACCGTTTGACCCCCATAATCTCTCGATGTCGCCTTTCTCAACATTTTTCGTAGTGATATCTCGAAACAATGTTTACGAGACGCTCATTTGGAATCCCTGAAAATATAGTCCCCAGAATTGATGTCACTGCTGTAGCTGTGCATGGGATGCCTACTATCTGACAAAAAATATGCGATTCATTTCATTGGGGCTATGAAGCAGTACTTATGCATAAATCATTCTTTTGTACAACTACTATAGCTGTCCGGTATTAAATACTATTTCTCAGCACACATTAGTAGGATCGAAACCCCATGGCTTTGAAATTATCGATAATAACTACCTGAATATGATCGACATGAGGAAAAAAAATTTTGATAACAATGTGTGAGTGTCACTCGCTCATTTGTCGTCAAAGGTATACTATCCGAAATGAGTAGGTTGCTTTTCAACATACTATAAGCACGACTTAAGATCAACGCCTACTGCAAAGAATCGAAAACAACATACCACTGTCACAATGTAAGATCAATACATACTATAAGGAATCCCCACCAGCATACTATCGACTCTGGTACTGAATCGACACTGTGTATGGAAATACGCAGTCGATATCACCATAGTATCAACAGGCATAAAGACGACATTAGCATTGTGTAGACAAAGTCCTAATTGACAGCTACGTATAATCAAGTGCGTAAAAATTTTATAACAGTTATTACTTTTTTATAATTTTAATTATTATTTATTTAATATTTAGTTATATTTTTAACAGTGATATCCAAGTTTCTTTTCAAGAGCTGATAGCAGCAGAATCTTCTAATTGATTAAATGGTGACAGAAATCTTCATCTTAGAAAGAAGCTTTTTGTTTTATTAAAGCACTCTTACTGTTGTGCCTCATTCGGAATAAATTTATACCGGAAACTGTTATTCTAACAAGCAAGACGAAGACCTTTAGTATTCTAAGAACAACAAACATAACTTCAAGTAAAATGTACCCACGTTTTCCATTGTAACTAAGGTCATGTTATTTACAATTAATCGGTTTTACTATTACAAAATAACTTTGTCACATAAAACGCTGTATTAAAAAATAATAACATGAAAGACTGTTAAAGAATTTCGAAATTATATGGGGGAAGGAACAGTTTCCATTTAAATGAAAGATTTTAGAGCTTCTTGAAATGGTGGGGGGGGGTGAAGAAAGAGAAAGGAAAAAGTAAAATATCGGGTCAAGCATTTACTCGCATTACTAAATTAAAATTATTAAATTTTGGTGATAAAGAACCGAACCTCTGTACATAGCATAGGCATTTAGCCAACCGCTAATCTACATATATTATTTTCATTTATAAAGATGCTCATTAAGTTATTTTTCAATATTTTATGATGTAGATATTAAAAGGAGGAGATGCATACAAAAGAGTTATATAAATACAGTTGGCATAGTATTACTCGAATAGTATGGCACTGGTATTACCACAAGTTTTTTGAACAGAGAAAATGTAATCACTCTTCTCATTGAGATTGCAACACGAATCTTACTCTTTGAATGTAATATTTCATTCCCTCATATTAACGAACAAGTCCCAATGAAGCCCCTTAACTTGGAAATAATCTGGAAAGAGTGTTTCATTTTTGTCAACCTAAAACCTTTTAATTCTATCTTAAGAACTATACTATTCTAGTTATATGTAAAAAACACCAGAAACTATTCGTATATAAGGTAGTCTGCTTCTGTTATGATATGCATTTCTATTTTAGAAGTTTGTACATTCTTTGATTTTCCAGAAAATTCTATAATACGTCTGTTTTGAGCTCGTGTAGGCTGTACTAATCCTCATGAATAGATTTAAATACAGGCAGAGGCAAAAACTTTCTTTTTCTCTTACCCTCGAATCTTTGGTTCCATAATAATGGGAGAGAAGATGGAAATCTTTGCATATATATATATATATATTTTTTTTCAGTTTAACTTAGTGCCTAAACTTTTACGTGCTGAATTAGACTTTCTTATTATTTGACAATGACAAACTAAATCATGTAACAGAGCTAAGCGAGATTCTAAAGGACATTAGGTCAAGTGATTTGAAAATTTTGGAAAATTCTAGATCCTAACAAAATGGTAAAAGTAATTTGGCAGTTTTTATAATGGCTTAAAGCAGTAAAAAAAGCATAATATTTATCCAAAATAAGGGCTGTGATTTCGCACTTTAAGTAATATGTTATAAATTTTTTAGTTGAAGGAGATGCTCATAGCATCCAAAATTGCAAATGTACATTTGGATATGAGTAAACATAATCTAATTCAGAAGTCAAACAACAAAAATCAGAGTTGTATTTTCAAAATTTTCACAGGACTAGTTTCGATGGTTTTACCGAACCACCATCTCAGCTGCAAAACCGCAAAATGATTAGATCAGATAAGAAAGACTGGACAAGAATAAGCAAGTAGCGCCATCTGTTGATGAAACCAGAACTAAAACATAATTTCTTTAAAGGCCAAAGGCAAAGATGGATTGGAATTAGGATCGTTAACTAGAACAGAAAGATTTTTTTGAATGTGAAATGCCTCTAGAAAATCCAGTTCTCCAATGGAAGATGTTTTTTTTTTTGAATAATTTTGGCAGCAGAAAAATGAAAGTGTGATTTTTGGACCAACAATGTTGAGCAACAGAAAACTTCTGTGTTTCCTTTTTTCTAACATATGCCTCATGTTCCTTGACGCGAAATTTTAAGGCTCTCTTAGTTTGGCCAATGTAAATTAAACCACACTGGCAAGGAATCCTATAAATACCCCAGGAATTCATATCCGGAATGGGGTCCTTGAGTATGGAACTCGGAATTTTATTGATGGGACAATAAACAACCCGAAAGTTAAATTTCTGCAAAATATGTGCAACTTTATAGCTAATTGATGGAAAGAAGGGAATGACAACAGAATTTTTATAATCTCCTAAAACAAGTTTGTGCCTTTTAGTGTGTTGAGATGAGAATTTTTTAACTGCTTGATTAGTAATGTTGGGTGAAAAGCCCCTGTCAATAGCTATTGCTTTTAAATAATTCAGCGCTTCATCAAGGGCTAGTTTGGAGGAGCAAACTTGAAGAGCACGGAAAACAGGAATAAAATGAAGCTACCTTTCGTTTAGTCGGATGACATGATTTAGAGTGTAGTGGAAGGCAAACCGATGTAGGTTTACGATAAACCGTAGTACTGAAGTTGAATGTGTTACGCGTGACCAGAATGTCGAGAAACGGAAGAGAATTGCCGGTCTCAAGTTCAAAAGTGAACTGAATAGCAGGATCAATAGAAGTCATTGTTGAAAGAGCTTTATTTAAATCATCTTTATTACCTTCAAACAGGGTAAAAGTATCGTCTACGTAGCGGAACCATTCCGGGAAGTTTAAAGTTTCAAATAATTTTGATTCATAATAATGCATGTAGATATCAGCCAGGATGGGACTGAGGGGGCTTCCCATGGCTGTTGCCTCAGTTTGCTTGTAATATTTATTTTGGGAAACAAAATGTGTTTGTTTCAAACAGAATTGAGTGAGAGAAATTAGCTCATCAATTTCGATGCAAGAGAAATGAAATTCGCGAAGTCTGGTTTCTAGACATCTTAATGCACCCTCCACTGGAACATTGGTGAATAATGATTTTACATCAAAAAAACTATGAGTAAATTTCTAGGAGACATGTTTTTAACCTTTTTCACAAACTCTATTGAATTTTTTTATGGTGTAAATGCTATTGTCTAATAGAGTTGAAAATCTAGAAACTAAATATTTAGCTAATGGATACGAGGCAGTACCTAAATTTGATACAATAGGGCGGAAAGGAATACCACTTTTATGAATTTTGGGAAGAGCATGTAATCTGGCACAATTCGCAACAGATAGGATAAGAGAATGTTTTAAGTTGCTTGAAATGATTTGTGAAGTTGATCGCAGTTTTTATTTTTGACAAATCCGAAGGTGAAGGATCTTTAGGGATCGGATTATATGGTCCTTCGTTTAAGAGTTTAGTGACAGTTTTGTTGACAGGTGAGTTTTGTTGTTTGACTTCTGAATTAGTATTTATTCGACGTGTTATTGTGTCTTAATTAAACATAATCTCCCTTCGTATGGTGTCAAAGCTGTTTTCTGAATATATCTTTTGTCTGAATATTTCGGTTTATTTGAATGAGGCGATCAGATTTTATATCTTATCTTTATCGTATTTCGAACAGTGTTTAATCTCTTAAAATATGATACGGAATATCTATGAGGTGGTTCACCGATGTTTATCACTTCTTAACAAAGGATTTTGAACTCTCAATGATGTCAATTGTGTTCTTGAAGTTACTACACGTGATTGTTCATATTTGTCAAAAGAATCGATTTCGTAATCGTAACTAGAAATGGTAGTGAGTTTATCCAGTAGGGGCTTGTTTTTGGTGGTATCCGTTTCATTTTTATTTGGTGTTGGTTTTGGTTATAAGTTAAAAGAGTGGCGATTAAAATATTTAAAAGAGAAAAGAAACTTTTTAGCTAGAAAATTTCGTCAAGTGCAGAATCAGCTGGATAATATTGTACATTAATTAATAACAGTTTTTAAACTCGAATATCTATTCATAAGGTACGTATGATTGTATAATCTTGACTATATTATTGTTTCATATTTGAATAAAAATTGTCCATTACTGAGTTTCAACAAGAAGTTATGCTGTATGAGAATGCATATTTTAAATCTTGCGTAGGAGAAGAAATTTTATAAAATTTTATGATAGCACCCAAAACCGTAAATTTAAAAACTTACTTGCTGTCACATAATTTTATTCTTTGGATTCATTTTGCAATCTGTATGTGTTTTAAAAAATGAAGCAGAAGTATAAACTAATGAATGTTCATTACATTATTTTTTCCCCAATATTTCCCAGGGAATGGAGTAAATACTGTGGCTCAGAGTTAAAATATTTCATATGGTCATTGCATCCTCCCCCTTTTTTTTTTTTTGTTGTTGTTTGAATTTTAACGCCTAGAGTTTTTTTACATCATAGTGCCTATCAATATCCAATCATAACGTTGTGGCTCAGAGTTAAAATATTTCATATGGTCATTGCATCCTCCTTTTTTTTTGTTTGAATTTTAACACCTAGAGTTTTTACATCATAGTGCTTATCAATATCCAGTCATAACGTTATGAAAATATCCTAGTGAAATATCTCATAGAAGTCAATGTAAATAAATTATAGAAACATTTTTTCATTTTGGCTTTTAGTTAATTAAATTTCTTTTTTCTGTTATACGTTATAAATTACTTTAATTTGGGTTTATTTTAGCATGCTTACAAGTTGCAGTATTTATAGAATATTTTTATATTTTTTCAGATTACAATGGAATTTTACTTTTGCATTAAATAGAGCTGTGCTAAATCTTTATAATGAAGCATAAAATGCATGTTTGCAGATCTTCTGGAGTATTCTTTATATATGATTTAAATTCAAAATGAAGTCTGATTATGTTAATTTACTAACCTATTCCCTTTCTAACTAGTATTCAGTAATTAGTTCCCCACCCAGAGATTTTAATTTCTCTTTTCTATTCAGCATTTTTAAAAATTTATTTTCTGCATACACTGTTGCTTTTACTCTTCAGTATCATTAACTATATTTAGTATGCTGTTTTATTTATTCTTTTCTTATTGAAGTTTGGTGAACTTTTAATACCAGAAATGTGTATTTTATGTAAGGGAATCTAATTTTGATAAATAAGCATCTGGATTTGAAGCCTATTAGACATTACTTTATTTTGGAATATGCTTATAATTATAATGAAACAAGTGTAAAATCGAATTTCCCGTATTTAACACACGACAGATTAAAAGGCATGTTTTACATTACATATCTTTGTACTTTTAGCTATTTTTCTAATTAGTGATGCAGTTTTTCTCCTTGTTATTATGAATACAAATTAATATATAAGGAATTATATTGCAAGTCTGCTCCAGCTGATTGATTGATGTGTGTGTAAATCACAAATATTATATTTGTTATTGAATGTGGCATTTTATCTCCCAGGTGCCACTGTTAATGTTTTGCTATGCTAAAGATTCTTATAATAAAATGTGTCATTAATGATTCTTTACTGTATTGTTTGATGCTGCTTTTGCCATTTCTTTGTAATGATTGGTTTTCTGGACTATATTTGTGAAGAAATGTGTGTAATGATTGTTTTTCTGGACTTATATTTGTGAAAAAATTTCGTTATTTGAGCTTTTTATGGGTTTATTCCTGCCTGAGATAATGAAGAATGTTAGAAACATAATGGAAAAGAAATGAAAAAATAGCTGATATTAGAAAGCTTTTTTATTTTATTTATTTATTTAATTTCTTGCATTTAATGTCTTCAACCCAAGCCTCATCAGAATTCATGTAGAAAATTATTAAAACTTTTTTTTTAATTAAATGCCAAAGCTGCTTATTCTGTTATGAAATTTTTTGTCTTAGTTATTAATGTGAAAATATTTTTTAGTTATTTTTCGTATAAAAATGTATATTTAGTATTTGTTTTTCATGATGAGTAGAAGGGTATTCAACTAAGATTCTTCACTTATTAAGAGATATTTAATTAAATACAGTATTAATACATACAGTACATTTACAGTAAGTAATTACATACATATAGTACATTTACAGTAAGTACATTTACAGTAGTACAAGTAATACAGTATATTTAAACAGATTTTATAGATTCTTTGAAAGATCTGTGAATGTTGAGTAATTTAATGGTGTGATATGTATTTTATAAATATTAAAATATTAAAATATTTATAAAAGTAATTGAAAGAAATGTTTTATTCTTCCTAGAATGCTTGGGGGGGGGGAACAAGTGATTAATTAACTGTTACTTTGCTTCTTTTGAATTTCCTGTAACTTTTTAAATACTATGTTCTTTTTTTACAATCAAAATGCTAAAATAAAGTCAATTTTGTGTGAGATTGGAATGATTTCCTTCTCTCTTTCTAGTAAATCTAACCTTTTCAAATGACATCATCATCTCGATGTTTTTCGCTAAGGAGCTGTACTAGCTGTATCAAGCTGAAGTCTTAACTCTTGAAGGACCAATATATTTTACGAATTTGCAGTCTTCAGGGTAAAGAAATAACTAGCACTGACTGGTTACTTAATCTATGTAACTATCGCAGATTTTAAATAATTTGGGGTTGTGTGCATGGGGACTTATTTGTTTCTTTAGCCTGTAGTGAAGCATGGGACATTAATCTAGTTTAAAATACTCTGTCATATGGTATAAAATCCTGCGAATTATTTTCAAATATACTTGATTATATGCACAGTAATTGTATATCATTGCTTGAACATGAATGGATTTGATGATACTGATGTAGTTAATCCAGTCCATGTTATCCTGGAATAAGGGAAACTGCATTCATTGCATATAATTAATTAACTCAGGTTATGTCCTTACGTGGTTTAAAAAAATGTTAGGGCTGGCTTAGGTACAGGATGTTCGAATCTTCATATCTCGTGAATCTAATTTCTTCAATTTTGAAGAAAAAGATCTGAATATAGAAAATTCTTCACACTTTTCTTGTCATTTGAATCTTTTGGATCCTAACCTAAAATACTGTTAAGTATTTTAATTCAAAATTATGGAAAGATTTGTTTCACTGTCATCCAACAAAAGAATTTATTGACGGTTACCTGATCACTATGTGGCGACTCTGGGTGCCATACTGTTTTTTTGGGGGGAAAATTTAACATTCCTCGTTTAGTATGTATTTATGTTAACTTTGTAAAATAACCTGGTACTCAAATATTTTTTATTCAAAATTTCTCAAATTATGTCTTGAGAAGTACTTTATGTACTTCATCTACTAAATTTCATATATTCTTTCATGAATGTAGAATCATTTTTAGAAATGTATTCTTAAATTTTTTATTAAATTCAGATTTTTAATTTTGCCTTTGTTAAAAGCTTTTAATATAAAGTAGAAATTTTTTTCTTCCTCCCCTTTTCTTATTTTCGTATGAAGGATTTTAGATTAAAAAAAAAAAAAAAAACCTTCGGATTCATCTCAATTCTACATAAAACTAAAAGAATTTAAAATCTGTACCTTATAATTTTACTTAAAATATTAAGATTTAAAATATTATCAATCCATCAAATGTTTCTGACATTCTTCATTCTGTTCTGTTCTTGCTGTTTGGTTTCGTGTTGCACTATAAGAAACTCTGAAGAAAAAGAAAAAAAAAAAAAATAAAAAAATAAACTAGCATGTAATTCTGTGCAAATTTCTCAATTGCTGGTTTTCTAGCTTCAAAGGACTTCGCTTTTGTTTCTCTCAGCTTTAAATCATCCTGACTTCCATCTTTAACCGTACTAACATGTCCACATCTGTTCGACCTCGTCCGTCTCCTCTGAATTCCCCTCGCTCTTCTCCCTGTCCTTCACCACGTAGCTCACCCCGATTTTCACGGAAACATCTTCGTTCGCCAACAGTAAAGAAGAGAATGATGCCTGTAATCATTGTTCATGGAGGAGCAGCCACTGTACCTCCTGATAAACAGCCTCTCAAAATGGAAGGCGTGAAAAGAGCAGTCAACAAAGGATATGATGTGCTTTTATCACCAGATGGTACTGCACTAGATGCTGTGGAGGCTGCAATTAAAGTTATGGAGGATGATCCAGTTTTCAATGCAGGTTTGTATGAAACTTTTCGTACCATTTTGAGTTACAAAAATTGTTTTCTGATTATTGGATAAATTCTAAATTGATATTATTTAGGACATTTCATGAAATTTCATCTATCAGCTTATAAATATCACTAAATTAAATTGCATCATTTTGTGAATCAATATCGTAGAGTAGTATGTTTGGTAAAAATATATTTTCTGGTGCCCCTTGGCGAAAATTGGCATTTTTTGGCGATAAATGGATACTGAGTTTGTGCAATTCTTTGACTTGTTATTTTGTCTTTATGTAGCACCAGTTTTTGTGCCAAAAATCACCACTACACAAAGACAAAATAACAAGTCAAAGAATTGCACAAACTTTTTATCCATGTACACATCGACCTATTTTCACTTAAAAAAAATCAGAGAATTGCACAAACTTCGTATTGCGTACTCCCTTTATCCATGTACACATCGACCTATTTTCACTTTAAAAAAATCCCTGAATTGCACAAAAATGGCATTGCATACTCTTTTAACTTTATCCATGTACACGTCGACCTATTTTCACTTAAAAAATCAAAGGAGCACCCAATTCTACAGTAGAGCCAAACAAACAAACAAAAAAAAAAAAACAAAAAAAAAAACGTAATCTCAATAAACTACATTTTAAATCAATCAATAAAATAACATAAAAAAGGAAATTCATCGTATGCATCTAAGCACTACACAAAGCAAATATCCACTTATCTTATTTAAAAATTTCTGAGTCCTTCAGTCCACACAAAATTCCTTCAGCATTAACAGCATCCCAAAACTTCCTAAAACTATTTGACTAGAATCCGTATATGGGCGTGACCACGTAAATTCACAAAAATAAGGGTAAAAAAAGTATCTTCCGTATCTATCCTCCGACGTTTAAACATATGCATTTCCTTCCTACAAACAGGACACTTATAATGGCTTCTAAGTAAACCTTCATTTACACACCAGTCAATTAATGCACTTTTCCCCTTTCATTCTAAATTTTACAGAAACTTCAAAATAATCTTATTCTACCATCTAAACCACAAAGTAAGCAATGTATTTCTTAACCAACACACACCACAAATTCTTACAAACCTTTTGATGTCATTCAAAATTTGTGGCAATCACACAGCCGATTACATCATGAAATGACAACTTCGCAGTAATACAAGGGGCACCCTTCAATTTACTCTAACCGTATGTTTTAAGCAAAGGAAAATATCTGGTATAAGATCTCTGTCATCTATCTGTCATTCTTTAAACATTTATTTAATATTCCATATCCAGTTACTCACATACATTTTATCCTCATTTGTTCATAAAATTAAAAATTTTGAACTTTTGGATAGCGCAGTTACAATAGCAAAGTGTATGAAATTTTAAAAGCAGTATTCATATGAGATACTAGATGCCCTTCTGTAATTCATATATTGTATATCACACGAGAAGAGAATGGATCAAAATGTGTAGCACTTTACTCCTTCCTTACTCCAAAAAAAGTAATAAATTAAAATAAATGCCACAAAATTGCATGTACTCGTTATTTTGTAACATCGGAACTGAATTGCTTCAAATGCTTCTTGCATCTCGGTACACACACAAAAAAAAAAGGGACATTTCTTTTATTTCCATTCTACTGGGCTGATTACTAAAATTTAACTTGCGTTGAGCATCTAGTTTTCGGTGAGCTCGAAAGCACGACTTAGGATGTATGTTAGATTTATTTACAGCATTGTTCTGACATAAATATTATGACACAAAATTGGACATTTCCTGAAATGACATACCTATTTTTTCCATATTTTGATTCTACAACTCAAATTTTGCCCAAATGTCAAGTTCTGTAAAAATCACAGTAGTAATTTATAAAATATTAGCTCTCAAAATGTTAGAGCTCTCTCTTCTTCATGTTATTGAATATGGTCTATATTTATTATATCTTTTTTTTTTTAATTAAACTTTCTGGATTCCTTTCTTCACAGCTCAAAATTTAGGTTTAATCCAAATAAAATTCACAGTTATTTTCTGATTTATTTTTTAAATTTGTATTTTTTAGTAATTTTATAAATTTTTTCAAAACTTTTTTAAATTATGAACTATAAAGTTTTTGCCATCATCTTAAAGTAGATGCATTTCTAGGCATATCTGTGAAAAATTAGAATTTTTTATTCAAAAGTTTTGAACATATAGTACATGCATTTATATATTTACTCATTTTGAAATTTGGTATATTTGTAACTTGTGATAACACCAAATATGGTTTACACATTTTGTTAAAATTGTTTAGAGAATGAACGATGTTTATTTTATTCCACTGAAGCACTGTGAAGTGGAAAGGAAAACTTGTTACCATAAATTAAGAATTTCGTGAAACATGAAAAGCGCAAGTTAAATTTCGTCAGTCGGCCCAGTAGAAAAAGAGATATAGAACTGTAGTCCCCTTTTTTTCTTCTTTTGTAAGGTGTACCTCTTTTAACGTACCACAAAAGTCTGTTTTTCATGGGCATCTAGCTACTTTATTGCATTTCTTCATCTGAATTTAAAAAAACATCATCTGGAAATACTGATGCAGTTCAGTCGATCTACATAATACAGTCAAAAGTCGTTGGGACTTCCGGATTCGGATTCCGATTATAGATCATCAGTTTAAATAAATGGCATGGCAAGAAAAATTAAAAAATTAAAAATATGAAACCGTAATTTATGAAATAAAAGAACAGTTATGATCTACAGGGTATCAAAATTTACAAAAAAAAAAAAAAAAAAAAAAAAAAAAAGCTTAATATTTATTTGTTTACTTTATTAAACATTTCTTTCAATGTAAGTTGAGTTGCTTCGTTTTATGTGATAATACTTTCTCTTTAATTCTATAAACAGACATAATTTCTTGTTCAGTTACAAAGTTCCGCTGTTCAAGTCCTATAATTGCTGTGTTGAGAATACCGACTAATTTGTCAATTGAAATTTTTTCGTTTTCAATAACCTCTTTGTCACTTTCTTCACTATCGGAAGCGAATCATAATGACGAGAATTTGATTTAAATCATATCAAAGACGGAGTACTTCGAGATGAAATACTACATTTAGTAAGGAATTATAAGCCAAATAAAATGAAAACATCTGCCCTGAAGATAAGGATAGTGCTGACAGATCAACTTCCAATTTATTGCGCACAGCGGTGTCCCCTCCCCGGCCGCCGCAGAGCAGCGTGAAATTGATAAACAGATTTTGGAATGGTTAGCGAAATAAAGGATATGCCTTTATCCATTTTTTGCAGCGATTCCACTTTTTGTTTGATGGACATTGAAACATACTTTCACTTTGTAGATCCTTTGGGAGCTCCAGCATCGGAAATTCTACTTGACATAATTGAAAGTTCAAGTTTACTTTTTATAAAATTGCTCTAACAGTCTGCAAAAAATAATAAGCCGGATCCAATTCGAAGATTGAGGACAACGCAATCTGCAACATTAACTGAAATAGAGAATTTTAGCTTATACCGTACGTTATACATTAAACGCGCATGCGTAAACGTATTATGCGCAGCCGTAAAGATCTTGCACGCATGCGTCAACGCGATGCATGCGCAGAAAGTTTGTAGTTTTGAGATCCGGATTATGGGTGTCCGAATTAACGACTTTTGACTGTATCTTCATTCATGTATTTATGAATTTAAGTAGGGTCCTCACAAAAAAAAAAAAAAAAAAAAAAAAAAAACGTTGCTTATTAATTGTTAATGTTATGAACAAATGCAACATTTCTGGGTAAGAATTCATGATTTTTCTGTCAAGAGTGATAGCTGATTCAGTAAAATTAATTTGTAGCATAATAATCAGACTTGTTGCATGTCGATTTAGAAATTTTCTGCTAGCAAACCAAGAAAAGGAAAGCAAAAGAACAAAAAACTGCTATTGTGCAAGCCTGCCATGCAGTTTTATAGCTTACCAAGTACTTTTATTATGTTTCTTTTTGACCTGACACAGATCAAGTTGCCAATATCATGTTTCATTTTATTATACAAAAGCATCCTTATTCAGAGGTACCTACTAAAATTTTGAGATTCTGTGTTTCTGCCAACCTGATTTACAGTGTTTTTCTCATGACTTTCTCATTTTTTCAATTTCTTCTGAAAATCGTGAAGTTTGGTTTAATATTTAATATTATGAACCTAAAACATGATTTCTAACATCTGAAGCCACTTGGCTCATTATTTTTTTAATTTAATTTAATTTTCTTATTTTATTTTTGTACCCCAGATTACTGGGTTAAAAGGAATGCAAAGCTGTTTCTATCAATGAGATACTGTGGCATGAATTTTAGAAGTATATCAGAAAACATGGTTCATTTCCTTGGCGAAATCTAGTTCTTCGGTGAGCAAATATCCCTACCCCCGGAATCAAATTAAAAAATATTTGGTTTAGATGTAAGCAATTAATTGGCAGGCATTGGCTGAAAATCAAATAAAATACAATTAAAATTATGGGGAAGGAAATTGTGATGGTGCAAGCTGTTAGGTGTCCTTAATATTTTGCTTAGGTTAGAAATAAAGCATACAGGAAATGGTGATGTGTACACCTAAAGCATTGCAAAACCTGATTTGTAAAGCAAGAGTCAATAGTTTAAGGTAGGTTTGCATAAATGTGTGTAAAGGCAGAAAGTTCCGATTAAAAGCGGAAAAGAAGTCTTCCAAGTTTAGAAGATGATATTTGAAGTAAAGTGAAAAAATAAAACTGTTGGGTCATATGGAAAGCTTTATTAGTTTTTGATGAAAAATACAAATGAAACTATACAAAAAACTTGAAAAAAAATCATTGAATCACAAGCACTGCTTTGTTCTATGATTTTTTACCATCTCTGTGGCAGCTGGAAAATTCATTTCTTAAAAATGGCTTTAGCTTTATTAGTAAAGAAGTTATAAAAAAGGCTATTTGACAGTTTCCAAAGAAGTGAATTCCAGGTGATTATGAGATGACCTGAAAGATGAAAATGCAAGGGGACAAGGTATGGAGGATGAAAATATCCCAGCCATGTTCAATAAATCTTTTTCGGACATTCATTGAAATGTGGGAATAAGTATTGCCATAATGACAACAACTCGATAATTGGTCAGTTCTGAGCACTTTGTTTCTGCATTTAAACCTGTTGCTTAAAAACACAATTTTCCAAATTTATTGTCTTGTTTGGTGGTAACAATTCATAATATACAATTTCTTTGCAGTCCTGCTATACACAAGCATTACAGTTTTTGGAATGAAACCGATTTTCATTATTACTCAAGAAGGTTCTTCTGGTTTACCCTTTGATATTTTTCTTGTAGCATTATTGTATAGTAGTCACTTCTCATCTCCAGAAATGGATTGTTTGCAAAAAGGAGCTTCTTTATTTCTTTTCACCAAAAAATCACATACTAAAATTTGAATAGATATACAGTACAAAGTCCGAAATCCGGATTCGGCGATTCCGGATTTGGGATTTTTTCCGGACAATAGATCATCAATTTAAACCTAGTAAGATGGCATGCAGAAATTCTACAATTAAAAATATGAAATCATAATTTATGAAACAAAGAACAATTATGATCTAAAGAGTATCAAAATTTATTTAAAAAAAAGTTTAATATTTGCTTTATTAAATATTTCTTCCAATGTAAAAATGTTGTTTAAGTTGCTTATATAAAAAATTCCTTTTTCTTATGTCATATACAGTTGACTTTCCAATGCCATACTCCTCGCTTAATTTTGAGATGGATATGCCTTTATCCATTTTTTGCAGCAATACCACTTTTTGTTTAATAGACATCGAAACATAGTTTCGCTTTGTAGATCCTTTGGCAGCTCCAGAATTGGAAACTCTTTTCGATATAATCAAAAGTTCAAACTTAATGTTTATAAAATTGCTGTAATAATAACAGTCTGCAAAAAATAATAAGCTGGATCATATTAGAAGATTAAAAAGCAGCACAGTCTGCTACATTAACTGAAATGCCTTAGAATCATTTAATATAATTTTACCTAGTTTAATAGCGTCCGTTATAATTATGGCTGTGTCACAATGGTGACGAAAGCAAGGTTCCGCTAAATTTTGTCTTGCCCTATTGTGTTATTAAATCAAGCATGAATGTATTAGTTATTATAACCTACGTTTATTTCTTGCACATGCTTAAAACAATCTGAGTCCTGAATAATAAACTCCCACGTATATAATTAAGGTTTATCTAGGGCCGGCGCTAGATACCTCCTGGTGTAGTTTCTAAATTCTGCTGCGAAGTGCCTTCCTAAATTCCTAAATTCTAAAGCCGCGCCTAACTTGGGGCCAGTGTCCCCCCCCCCAAATTATAAAAAAAAAAAAAATTTTGCCGCTCGGTGCTTCCCCAAATTCCAAAAATTGTGTCTTTCCTAAATTCTGCCATCCAGTGTGGTCATATTCTGCCGCTGCTTCTGGGTTTATGGTGAATAACATATCAATTATTCTTAATTAAAATAGCACTAAATGTAATCTTTTGGCCTATGAGTTTCATTAAAATCTATATTTAGCGTATGAAAATAAATTTTTGTTGAATTTTTCCTCGTCAACATTTCTTAGAACATTTAAAAAATCTATAATCATCGCCAAGTGTAATGTTAGCAGAAAAGGTTGCCGTACTCTTATTATTCAATTACTAATATAAAAAAAGTTTACACATCGCTGCATGAGTTATTACTGAAGCTGTCATGTATTGATAAACATGTGGTGATAAAGCAAAATATAATAAATAATGACTCCCCAGGTCGGTGACAGGGATATAAAATAGGTGAATGTTTCGGTTTGAGATGTCAGACTCAAGTCACCGTTCCATAGACACAATACTCTTCATGTAGATTACAATCTCAATTGCCGCTCTCATGGCATTATTTCAGCAGAGCTGGTAACATCGTGGCTTGCACGATAAACTACCAATAATTCATTATTGGTATTGGTTTGAAATGTAATGCCAAGCAGATATTCAGCTATGGAGCCAAATTATTTAATCTCACAAATTTATGCTTACATGATTGTTCTTTCATAACGATGTATTTTATTTAGTGCCTAAGTGAAATTAACAATCGGAATTTTTAAGTGAAAAATCTTCACGTGTTTTATTATGGAAGGAAAAATCAAACTTGCGTAAAGCATACAAAAAAAAAAAAAAAAGTTTGTGGCTTCGAGCTCCGGATTTTAGATCATTCCGGATAATGGACGTTCGGATTTCAGATTTTGTACTGTATTATACTCTTTAAAACAGTATAAATTTATGGGATAGTCATACATCATAGCAGCTGGCATACCCAGTCTTAATCATGTACTGTACTTTTTGGATACAAATGATCATGTACTGTACTTTTTGGAATATTTAGCTTGTCTAAACTGTATAATGTAGATTTTTAGCAATAATTGTTTTAATAGCTCCTTGTTTATGGAGGATGGTTCTCCAGACTGGGCATCATTTTTGAGGCTGAAATGTCTGTGTTTCTCAAACCACCTTCAGAAACAATAGTTTAATATAAAGCACAAATTCAATGAGAGTAGGACTAGCATATGTCCCTTTTCTAAAATAAATGAGACTAATATATGACAGAAATTAACTTTTGAGGTTTCCATTCTTAGCACTAAACTGGGGGAAAAAAAAAATATACCATAATGCATGTTAAAATTATGCTGTGCGAGTGGAAAATAATGTATTTAAACATCTGCTTTGATCAGAGTCACTCCTAATCAACAATAATAAAATAATTAGAAGAAAAGGTTCTTCAATTTGATAAACTGTAGAACTCTGGGTGATGCTTGAAAATTAACAGGAACTGAAGTGTGTGTGTATGTTTCGGCTATGTCATAATGATAGACTTGTTAATTGGGGAGAAAGGAGGAATCTGTAAAATGCAGTAAATGAAGGTATGTATGTACTTTATTATTTAATCATTTTATGCAGTATTTATCAATAAGCAATATTTTCTGCCAACTTTTCCACCAAATCTCTGGTTTATGTACAAGTATCTTTTGTGAAAGGTGCTGAAACATAAGCGATTAGATCATTAAGTGTTATTAGTAAACTGAATTTTACAAATATCCGTAATATTGTAAAATGAATTAATGGTTTTTACATGTGATTGAAACTGATATATTTACTTCAAAGCACAATGTCTTTGCTTTTATGTAATGAATGTGTTATATAAATTATATTCAGATGTGTTTATAGAAACTTTCTGTTGCGTCCTCTGATTACCATTTTCTGCTGTGACAGAATTTTTATATTTTGTGGTAAAACACAAATACTATAAAAATGTATTTAGTGTCTTTTTTTTTATATATATATATTTCTTCTTAAATTATGGAAATAGGTTTTGGATCATCACTTACAATAAATGGAGATGTTGAAATGGATGCAATAATTATGGAGGGCACACGTATGAAGGCTGGTGCTGTAGCAGCTGTTACCAAAGTTGCTAATCCTGTATCTTTAGCTAGAAAAATCATGGAACAAGTAAGGATATGAAGAAAGTTGTCATCTGTTCCTGCTTGATATGTTACTAATAACAGGAAAAACTAATATAGTGATAGTCTTAGATAGTCTTTGCTTCATAAAGTTATAGTTTGTAATAAGAAGAAGGATCACACTTTAACATTTAGTAACATTATTTTTTTCAAATAGTTTATAATAGATAGACAGGAACAGAAACACTATATTTTAAGTAGCTTTCAGCATAATTTATGACAATTCTTCTATCATAGACAATTCTATCATAGCATTATTATTAATGTATCGTATTCATAAAATCTGTTTTCTGAGCATTTTGTTACTTTTCAGACTTTACTAAGTCAGCATTATCAGTCAGATTTCTGCCAAATCAAAGTATTAAAATTTTTTCAGAGCACTAATTGATAAAAGTTCATTTGTTTTTGAATTTCAGTTCGAGTTTTCACTTGTTTCAGCAATTCAGCATAATTCATCTGTAGTTTAAAAGCCAGCTTAAACATCTTTTAACTTTATCCTGTTTCTTGCAAACCAAAAGAAAAAAATTATGTTACTTCTAGCATAATTCATCTGTAGTATGAAAGCCAGATTAAACATCTAACTTCAGCCTGCTTCTTGTGAACCAAAAGGAAAAAAGAAAAGTGTTGTTACTTCTTGATCCTTTTTCATTTGTGAAGTATTATCGAATTCAAAATTATATCCTGTATTAATGTCAAAATTATGTACACTATTAATGTCGCTTCAAGAGAAAATATTCCCATTCCAAGTACATATGTTAACTTTCTTTTGTAGTTAAATTAATCACTTGTAAAATGGTTGTAAAAGACAAACATTTATTTAAAGATAAATCTTAATAACCTACATGTAACGTATTCGTAAACGTACGTAACATAACAAACGTACTTAATGCATTGTACCATTAAACATTTCAAGCGTACATCATCTCAATGTATATTTTTTTAAATTATAAATAGAACGACATCCAGAAATTAGCTGTTGCCATTTTCTCAATAGATATTTTGTTTAATAACAATTAAATAATTTACAATCGTGCTTACACATATATATTTGGATTCTGAACAAGTTTTTTTTTTTTTTTTTTTTTTTTTTTTTTTTAGTAATTATGTAGTATGTCTAATGCTTCTATTTATTCATTTTCTAGATATGGCATTTAAATTGATTATTGTTTTAGTCATTTCTTTTTCCCACTGATTTTGCATGTTTGAATTTAAAAATAGCATTTTATTGGTACCATCTAAGAAATAATGAACTAACTGAAAATGATAGGTCCTATACTACTTGAGTATCAAGTTTTTTAGATTTATTTAGACAATGGTCATATGAACTGCTTGCGTTATGCTTAATGATTATTATGAATAGTAGTTGTTTAAAACACTGATTATTTCAGAGTGATCATGTTCTTTTTATGGGTTCTGGCGCTCACCAATTTGCTCAAATTGTGGGAATGCCCTTGATACAGCCTCAGCAACTGGTCACTAACTGGGCTCAAGACAGATTACAGCAGTATAAAACATTCATGAATGCTGTAAAGTCATCTATGATGCTGAAGTAAATTTCCATTTCAATCTGTATATAACTGTCTCTTTTTTGACGCTTTTTGAATATGTAAAAATTAAGAGACCATATGATTTCCTTTCACAAATTTTAAACTTTTGAAGATTTTCTCTTAAAACTTTTTATGTGATTATATGGGTGTATGATTTTTGAGGTTTTAGATTTATTTTTAATTCATATAAGTGCATCTTTGAATATATTAATTTGGTTGCTTTTAAAGCATTATTACATCTATAGTAAACAAAACAAACAAACAAACAAACAAACAAAAAAAAAAAAACACATAGATGTACTAAGGATATTGAAAAATTATTTATGCTGTGTGAAACACATGTGTAATTCGAAGTGCTGTTTTAATTTTACAAAAATAATTCAAATATTTAATTGTTGTTTTCATATTTTAAAAATTGGATAATTCATTGTGGAGTTTGTATTCCTGCAAATTTTGAAAGCAGTGGAAACTATGGTACTGTTCTGTTATCGAGACCGGATTCAGAAATGTATGAATATGTATGCATGTGCATATATGTATACACACACATACATTTGTACTTATATATACATGCATACATGAACACATATATGCATACATACATTCATACATTTCTGAACCTAGTCCTGATAACAGAACAGTACCGAAAATAAAATTGGAATTTTTTTCAAAAATTCAGGAAAATAATGAATGTACAAATTATAGTCCTCTCATATTATCAAAAGCTCATGTTTTAAACAGTAATTGATGAACAAAAATTTCCTCTTTTAACAAAGCAAATTTAGAGTAATTATAATCTTTATTTTTCCTGCAGAATATATCTTACTTGCCTTGTACAGTTTTAACAATCCATAACTCTCCTGCTGACCTTTTAATGAGCTGCTTTTCCTTATTCTGTTTATAAATATAATTATTCTATCACCTCTCTCTTTAAAAATACATTTCTTCTCTAAATATAGTGTAATTTATGAGTCGCTAAGCTACATGATTGTTCATTATGGTAAATGATTTATGAATTAACATTATCTGTTCAATCTATCATCAGCCTAATTTCCTCAGTTGTGTTTTGAAAAGGGTAGTATTTATGTTTATTTTGAGTGATACACTGATAAAAATTTCTTTTTTAGCATAAACAGTTTTCTCACAAAGTTTAATATTTTATTCCTAGAATTCTATTGCATTTCAAGTTGTTTAGATACATATTTCTTACATTCTTTTATTTGTCATTACATTAGCAATATAAGTTAGCTTTTCATAATTTTATTAGTTAGTTCATTGTATTTGCAGCAAATCGACAGTTCTGTTATTCATTCTTAATTTGATAATTCATTTTATTTAGTCCTAGGAATTGTTCAATTTTGTTCATAAAAAAATTGAGAAATTGAAGGCTGAATTTTTGTGAGAATCTGCATTTTTTCTTATTGTAACCTCACAAGTCTAGTTGCATTTATTAATACTAGGTCTACTCTTCATAAAACTTATATAAATCAACTTATCAACAATCAGCTCAGTTATTCTTATGTTCTTGTCTGTCCTGATGACATCATCTCAGCATTTGTAGCTTTTTAAAAGTGTAGAATTTTAGGAAAAGGTACAGCGACAGTACAAAATCTGAAGAATAGTGGCGCTTGAAGCACATTGGTTTTCAAGGGTTCAGATAGTAATAGTATCATCTTTGTTTTGAGTCAATAAATTAATATATTGCAGTGAAGATAAAAGCATTAATGCATTTTCTGTTAGTACTTACAGATCACATTCAAAAGATATATCACCGTTGCAAGATAGGGAGTGTTAAACTTAAAGAAGGCAGTGAGCTGGGAAAATTGTTGATATTGTGCCATAATGCAATACAGTCTACTTTCTACTAATGCCAAAAATGTTTTTAATTAATTTTTAAGTAGTGTAATATTTAACTATGGCTAAACGATATAATTAATTAAAATATTTTTGACAAGTAAATACACTTGCTTTTAAGTTTTGCTTTCTCTCCTATTAAAACTTATGCAGTTGACATTCATGTCGTGATGAATTTAATTACATTTTATAATGTATGTTTAGTATTTTTTTTATTAATTTACTGCTTGTGTGTAGTTCTAACTATTTTGTCATTTAATGTAGCGATCATGACACTGTTGGCGCAGTGGCCATTGATTCAGCTGGCCACTTAGCCTGTGCTACTTCAACTGGGGGAATCACTGCCAAACGTGCTGGACGTGTAGGAGATACTCCTTGTGTTGGTGCTGGAGGATTTGCAGATGATTTTGTGGGAGCTGCATCTACTACTGGTCATGGGGAAACAATCATGCGAGTCTGTCTTTCACGTCACATAACTGGGCTTATGCAGCAAGGTAATGATTTCCTTTCTCGTATATTGCAATATTACTTACATTTGCTGATGTTCATTTCAAGGTTTAAAAAAGCCAGGAATAAAAACGCTCAGATTTTTTTTTAGAATTTAAATCAGATTCTTTTTTCTTTTTTTACATTTACTTATTTAAATGGTTTTCAAAGTTATTAAACCTCTAACTGTATGATATTAAAAATTATATTAAATACATGTAAATTAATATGGTATATTAATAATATAATAAATATATTACTAATCAGAGTTAATATAAACTGTAATTTTAATAATTAGCAGCATAAGATGCAATCTACATAACTTAATTCAAAGCAGTTTAGGGGGCTTTACATCTGCATTACTGCCTTTTGCATTTATGGCTTTAAATGTTTAAAAAAAATACTGCATTTTCAATCCCGAACTCTTTTTTCACTTTGTTATATGCAGTTTCAAATGTAGAAACTATTCTTTTAGTCCCTGATGACAAAGATCTTGCTGTGCTTAGTATTTTAGTGCTATCCAGTTCTTTTCTCCTTGTACATTCTTTCTCAGCTACTGATGTCTGTTACTGAAGTTTGTTCAGTATGTCAACTGCCTCATTTTCAGAAAAGGGGAACACATATTGTAAATTTTAATGTAAGGCTGAACAAAGCTTATATATTTTTTACCAATTCCAGTGCCTATTCTGCTTTAGTTATTAATAAAGCTTCATAATATGGCAATAATGTATATGCAATAATATTAACTTGTTTTATTTTGCAACATAACTCAAACTCAGTGCAACAATGAACAGCAAAGTTAACAAAATTAACTTGTAAAATTAAGCAAAAACTTCACTGTACTTAGTGTTTCGGGTAGAAACATTGTTAAGCATTAATGAACATTGATCAGTTGAGTGTGTCCATGCCACATACATTTGTTTCTCTTTACATTTTCTAATATAAGATATGGTATGTATGTCTATGGTATGATATAAATCATATTTATGAGTTCCATTGCTTCACTTCCTTTTAATTGTACAACACAGGCATCTGTGGCTGTAGTAGTCATCTAAACAAAGCACATACACTTGAAAGTGGTGTGACCTCCTTTCAGATGAATATTTTTTTTTTTGCCTGCAGTACTATGATGGTGATATTTATATGTGGTTGCAATGTGATGACCATTTGTTGGAGTCTTATGTATTGTCACATCAGCTCAGTATCCAGAGTTATAATATGAAATGCAATTGGAATGAAGTTTACTCACCTGTTGTTGTTGTGACTTATTTCCCTTTTCCAACACTAACATCGGAATGAGCCTACGAAATTCATCATGGCAAGGAGGCAAGATTGCGCATGTCGTTGGCAAGAGCCTTGAGTACTATACAAGTGACAGTATGACTTTGCTCAGTTCCGCCCTCAATTTTGACAGAGAGCGTCCTGCGGGGGGTCCAAGTGCGTCCCACCCCTCTTCCCGTGTCACCAATCTCTTGAGAGGACTTTCGGCTTGCCATATATTTAGAATGCTCCCGTGACACTTACGTTTACAAACATTCATGCCTTTTCCAAGATTCGAACCTGGGCCCTTTGGTATGGCAGTCAATGTCGCTGGTTGGGTGACTCTCCCATCTAGTATGCTTATATATTATTCAGATTAACCAGTATTACAGTGCAGAAGTATTATAATCTATGCTAGTCTCATTTATCTTCAGATTCTTTGTAAAACTAGCTACTAATAAGATAGTATGCAACTGTGCATTGACATTATCTCAATAGAAGCTCTGTTTCATTTGTGCTTTGCTTATATATCTACCAAGCCTTTCATTGGTTGAGTATAATTGTTCAATATTTGTATTGAGACTGGTATGAAAATAATCACCAGTTACTATAGCAGATATCTCTGACAGAGAAATTAAACCTCAGGAACTAGTAATATTTCAAACTGCCATCAAACACTTATTTCATTTTATGCCTAGTCATGTGGCAGTAGTTATTTCTAGTTTTGATGTCTGTTTAAGATACTGAGCTGTGCACATTTTATGTAATTTGAGTTACCTGAAATATTAATCTCTTGATCTTTGTAATGTATAAAATTTGGTTCATAACATGATTTTGTTGTTTTTCATTATTGTTCATATTGCAGTTTTAATGGCGGCATTTTATGAACTTGTTTGAGCAGCCTTTTTAAAGTGCATAACTATTCTCCAACCCTTTTTACTTCCTTGTACGAAGTAAAAAGGAAGTATTGTAATCGCGAAAAGTTTCAGGCAGCATATTTCAACGAAAATATCCATTTTGACCGCTTTCGAATGCAATGTAACGATGTTTTTGCGTGATATCTGTACGCAGGACAGAATAAAAGACTCTTTTTCTCCAAAAAAATTATAAAACTGCTTTAAAATGAATTCTGAAGAGAATTTTTCGTGGCGTCTTTATGAACGTATGTACGTATCTCGCATAACTCAAAAACGAGTAGCCTCAGAGCGTTGAAATTTTGTATATAGGACTGCTATAACATGTAGATGTGCACCTCATATTTTGGTTGCAATCGGCCGCACCAAATGTTAATTTTTAAGGGTACCACTTTATTGGTATTTTTTTTTTACTTTTGGTTTTGACTTTTACCCTTGCCTGCATGAATGACGAAACAGGAATTGAATGATTGGAGAGTTAGGTTTGGAGGCAACTTCCCCTTGATAAGTCTGTCTCCTGCCTACTCAACAGTCATTCACTTATGCATTTTAAAAATTATTTGGTTTAATTTTAATTTGCTAAATTAGTGAATTTATTTTCATGGATTTGTTTTGCACTTGATTTGCTTATGCTTCTGAATTTAAATGATATTGTAGATTAGTTCGAGAATTAAATCTTTTATATGTTTACACTTTTTTTTAAAATTTTTTAAAAAATTATTTTGGCTTTTTTTCTTTATTTTGGCTTTTAATTTGCTTTTTTACTTTCATACGTGTTTGTTAAAATTTAAATTTGTTTAAATATATTTACATATATATCCACTCTGTTACCGGCTCAGTGATCTCAGTTTCTTTACTCTAATATGTTTGTAAATTGTACATTTTTTGCTTTAAAAATGATTGAATTATGTTGTTTTTATCTTCCGGTTATGGTTTCTATGCCTTTAGTAAATCTCTATGCAATGTTTTGAGAATTGTCAACAATTTAAAAGTTGTTTAAGTGCTTATATTTAAGTTTAAGTGCTTATATTTGTTTAAGTTGGTTAAGTGCTAATACTTTTCTTGATGGCGGCCATTGCTTGTTTGCATCTGAAACAGCAGGACTAGCTGATTTGTTGCCAATCTAGAGAAACTTAGCTTCGCAACAACAAAGATGAACGCCTTCACATTTATTATTGCCAATTAAATCATGCTTAATCCTTTCTGGAATTTTTTCGAGGAAATAAGTGTTTAAGATTTACTTACTTTCGTAATTTTTAATATAGATATTTTGAGTTTTTTTTATTTTTGCCTTCTCGCGAAGTGAGAACTGAATTAACTGAATGAGAAATATTCAATCGTCTGTGAAAAACTGTTTCTTTTTTGTTTTGTTTGCTTAATTTCTTTTATACATCATTCTAGCTTTATTATAGTATTTGAATAGAACATGTGGCAACGATTAGATAATTATATTCTTTAAATGTTATAAATTTTGTGCATTATGAGTTATAATATGAATGAAATATAATATTGTTAAGTGAATCTAGTGCCAGAGTGTCACTATTGTAAAGAAATACCAGAGTGAATTTTAAAGAATGCATTTATTGTATTGTGGTTTATGTGCTGTCGGCGAAGTAGATTTAATTCCATCCAATAAGTTTAAATGAAATGCAAGAAAAAATGCGTATAATTTAATATTCAGTACAAGGAAGTCGTGGTGTACACATCAGATTTTTTTAAGTATAGTCGTTTTCATACTTTACTTTATTTGTGTGACTTATTTCTTATGATATTCATGAATGTTAAACGTATTTAATTCTAGTTTAGAGGACATAAGACACATTATCTTAAAAGCATATTTAAATTTTTGTAATCTATGTATATAAACATGAATTTTGTTTCTTTGTTTATATTTTATACAAATCTACAGTTTAGTACTGATTTTTATGAAACTCGCCGCACTTGACCTTCAAAACAAGAGGATGGTCGCTGCCTACATAAGATTTCTCAGAAACCAGCCTATGGGATCTGCATTCTTTATATACATATATTTTACACTAATTTAACAAATTTTTGATTGAAAATTCGATTTAAAAGCTTTGCATTGGCGCTCTGCAAAACATAAGATATATATGTTTCAAATTTAATCAGAAAACTCGGCAATATAAAAAATTATGTGACCACTCGGGAAAATGCAATTACATTTGTCTCAAATTTAATGAACGAAATTGGCTGTTTAAGAGTAATGTGTTGCCACTGCCCAAATTAAAATATTTTAAAAGTGTGTTATTGTTTAGCAAAGCGTAAAATATTAATTTTTCACTCGTTAATACATGCACATTAATATGCGTGTTATTGAATCACTTGCATTTTGTTTACTTTTTGAAAGTGAGTTTGTAATAGTCATCAAAACGCATTGCTTCCACCATGAAATCAGTTATGCCACCAAAATGAAAATCAATTGCTCGATCTACATATTAATACAAACAAACATACAAATTTAACAAACTTTAATAAATATTGCTAAATGCTACCGTGTAAATAAATTCATTTTAGCATCATGCTATATTGAAGTATGTAACCATTATTGTAATTTGGCGTTACATTTTTTGAAATTTAATACTCAATTTGCATGGTAATGCAATGTAGTCTTAACTGGAATTTTGTTAGTAATTGAGATAGTTAAATGTTTTTAACTGAATGTAATTGATTTCATTTAAATTTTAGTGTTAAGAAGTTTAGAAAAGTAAAAGGGATTAATTTATTTTGTCATAATTTGTGCATACATAAAATATTTTGCAGTTAAACTGTTTTGAATTTAAAATTCATTTTCTTAAATAATGAATTTTAAATAATTAAATAATTTTTAATAATTTAAGGTAATTCAAAAGATAAAAATATGTTTGCATATTTTTATCTTTTGAATTATCTTTATATGCATATGTGCAGTCGGCAGTTATATCAAACAGTTTAACTCTTTCACAGCCACAGTGGACATGTATAAAGCAACCATGTTATATCAAAATTCAAAACTGTGGTTGTATCTATGATTATATAGATGCAGATTTGTTACTGAGAGTGAATTAAATCATCCTTTTCCTTTTTAAAACTGTATTTCAAGATATGTATAAAATAGTATTTGCACTCGTATGCAGTCTATTTCAGGTTGTTTAGAATTCATATTCATTAAAAATATAAAAAGTCTTTAGTGTACAATTAATATGTTTCATTCAAATTCACTTCTAAATATATGGGCAACAATATATAAAACTAATTAGAGATATATTCAAATTAAAATTTTTTTAAAAATAAAATTGGGTACTTTTTCTGATTAGCCGCACCTACACTAAAGACTTGGGATAACTTATTCACGAATTCATCGATTTCTTTGTTTCTTCATGCGAGATGTTTGTTTGTGAATCTTTACGTCTACTTAAACAATGCATCCAGTGCGGCTTATTTTTTTTTTACATCCTCTAAAAAATAAAACACTTACCTTTTATGAGAAATCTTTTTGCAGTTTTTTGCTCTGTTATCTGTCAGTGCACGCGGCAATCTGCTTTGCTTAAAAAAAATTGCTCACTGGGTGTGATCATAATTTCCTAAGAAAAGTTGAAACATCAGCATACTGAAGATAAAAGAGGGCTCTCTTCATAGTTCCATTTTGTTTAATTTCAACAAAAGTGAATGTAATACTCAGGGCAAAATCAAATACTGATCAGGAAAATGACCATTGAATTTCATATGTGTAAATCCACATATACTCAAACGTGCATGTGCTATGTGAATACCTAGGTTGTGACAAATATTTTTGAGCAACATTGTGGGCTTCCAAATAAATACTTCTTGATTATATAGTGCATTGCTCCATCAGTAACTTTTTTGTGGCTTTTCGGTAGGGCTGTGGATAATCAGAAGTACCTAAAATTTTTTATAGTAAATTTTAAGGTAAGAATGTGTGATAGATACATATTACAAACTTGACATTAGTAACTGAAACATCTAAATGTATCATATTTTGAACAAGCAATATGTTTGTTTCTTTCTTCCCCCTTTTTTTAGTGGTACGAAATACTGAGAAATACTTAACAACAGTTTTACCCCAAAATTTGAAACTGAGAGAAATGATTTATTTATGAAATTATGTATATAAGCATTTTAAATTACTAAAAAGAAAGGCAAAACAATCTGGCTATGTTAAGCAAACTTTCTTGCTGGAGTCTAATAATTTTTATTCTTATTACAATTTTAATTCATTCCATTTGCTGGACAAACATCTGAAGAGTAAGATCATTCTCAAATTTTGATCCAGTTTATGCGTCATTCAGCTTCAAAAGATTTATTGTTGTATTTTTTTAAAAACCTTATCATAACTTCTTGATTACTTTTAATTGCTGTTTTATTAAATTTCATTTATGCATTCTTCTGATTTTGTTTAAAAAAAATCTTCCCATTTCCATTCTTAAAAAGTTGACAGATTTGTCATACTGTTGTTCGTAAAAGTTCCTGCAGGGTTCTACTGGCCTGGAAAAACATGTAAAATAATGCAAATGAAAATAGTAAAATTTCCAAAAAGTTTTCATTCCACCTTTTCGAAAAGTCAAGGAAAATTGGAACTTTTTCAAGAAATAAATGGTGATAAAAAGTGTACAGAACAGTCATGTTAAATATTTAAAAATGCTCATTTTTTAGATAATAACTAATAACAAAAACTGGCCCACTTAAAAAAAGCAAATGAAGAATTAGCATAATTGTAATAAAAAGTGAGTTATCATATTTCTTATTTGATACAATTTTAAGAACTCATATTTCTCTTTTCTACTTATTAGGTGTGTACTTATTCACCTCTGTCTTTAATAATATATAGTTCTTTCATCTGTGTCACAGTAATGAATGAAAAAAGATTAGATTTCTATAACATAGTTTGTTATTTCATCATAGTTAGTAGTAAATGCGTGCAGTTACCCAGATACTTGGATTTAATTTAATGATTAGTTTTTAATTTTTATTTGGGGAAATCATTCACTTTGATTATTGATAAATCAGGGAAAATCAGAGAAATTAACAGTTTTATAAGGAAACCTGCTGAATTAATGTGAAAATACAATTTGTTTTTGTTTCTTTTATAATTTTGGACTTTTATAATTTTACACTCTGCATATTGTTATGGTGTAACTGTTAGTATAGTCGGCTTAATTGCACCCCTCCAAAAATGTAGTGGATTATATAATTCGTCATAGGCTAAGTTTGGCCAACTAGGTCTTGTCTCTTTTTTTTTTTTCATGAGTCCCTTTATGTGGGGAAGAATATAAGTAATTTTTGCATTCCTTACTTTATGGTGTAACTGACAGCACATCCATCTAGAAATTGAAAGATCTGAAACTCTAATCTTAGTGAAGACATAGCTGAGTTTTTGTGTTTTTACCCCTAACAAGTCTAATAACTCAGTATCTTGATACATGCCTCATTTTTTAACCAAAAAAAAACTCTGAAAAAGAATGTAGTCAGCAGGTTGTTTAGTGGGGAGCCTGAGTTTTCTCTTTTGAATTGATGGGTGTATCAGAATTAAGTGTATCTTTAATTACATCTCAGTTTGCAATGACTGGCAAAGCAACTGTGGTTGAAAGCCTAATCTTGGTGCAAGAGAAAGAAAGTAATGCTTTTCTGAATTATAGCCCAGAAGGAAAAAAAAATATATGGCTTTACAAATTGACTGTAGTAAAATATAAAATTTCTTGCATCAGAGAACACCATTTGATGTATACTTTACAAAGGTTATGTTCATGACAGTGTTGTAATGATTGTTTATGCTATAAAAATCAAACAGTGTATTTAACACTGCAAGGATAGCTAATATCTTTTGTATTCTTTACTATAGTTAAATAATCAAATCCTACTTTACTCTTTATTGAAAAATACATAAATATTGATACATAAATTTTTCTCAATTCTTGATATTCAGATTAGTTTTTGTAACAGGAGACTGTTTGCATATTATTCAATTGATGCTAAAGAGTGTCAAAGTACATAAGTTAATTAGTTCCTAGACAGTTCTTAACTTTTTGAGTCCGTGGCAACTGTTGCAAAAATGTTCTTTCTTTTACACATCGCAGCTTAAAAAAATTGTTCTCTTTTTATGTTAGTTTCTTGCTCAGATTTACGCTTGTTTGATATTATTTTATAAATAAAATTATTTTTCTGTTGCATTTAAATTTTAACTTTTTTTTTTTTTTTTTCAGGCATGTCTGCACATGATGCTGTTGTTGCCGGGTTGGAATACATGAAAAACAGAGTTCAAGGTTATGGTGGTGCAATATGTGTTAGTAACAATGGTGAAATTGGTGTTCACTTTACAACTGAACATATGGCATGGGCATATAGGAAAGGAAATATCATGCATTTTGGGCTTAGGCCTAATGAAGATATATCAGATGTAGTACAAATAGACTGCTCACCATAGTTACATTTACGAAGACCTTTTAGAATTTTTACAAAGATTGTAAATGAACTTTTTTTTGCAAATACTGTAGCAAAGCTATTTTTGGAAAACTATATATAGTATGGCAAATTTATATATTGTACTTCTCAACTGCTTCTTTTTGTTTGTAATTTGCTCCACCATTTATAGACAGAAAAAAATTTGTAATTTTAAACATTTTCTCTCAAATCTGCTAATTATTAGTCTTGCTGTTTTTGCTTTTAGTGCTACTGTTGTACTCATTTGTCTTGGTTAGATGATTTAGATGTAAAAAGTTGTTTTTTAAAATGTATTATCTTTGTTATACGTTGTATTGATCACTTACAGTAATTAATAAATCTTTTAAACTTGCAAGGAGAACGCATTTTTTTTAGAATTTCAGTCAATTTTTTACATTAGCTTTAGAATATGCATAACACTTGTTTAATAAATTTGAGCTCAAAGATTCTAGAATGAATTTCATGACATTTGTTCAGAAATATGAATGAAATAGAAAATTAAAGGTTGGTGTATTTAATTATGGCAAAGCACACTAGGGGCTATCTGCCTAAGGGGAGGGATGCCTTCGTGGAGGACTTTCTAAGGGAAACTGGCTCGTATACGCATTACACATGGGGAAAACCACGAAAAACACCCATGCAGCCAGCCCGTTTGTGGGATTCGAACCTCGGACCGAACTACCAGTGTTCAGCGACTTTACCGCTCGGCCGCTGGTGGGCCGAAAATTAAAGGAGCAGGAGTATAAAACAGTTGTCAAAAAAATTGTAAGAGAATAAATTTTGAAAGATGATATTCAATACCAGTATTAATATACATTGACAAAAATAGAAGAACACAATGAGCAAATTCTGTATAATTATTTTCTAATAAGTAACAGAATTATTTTAGTATAATATCAATTAAATAAATGACTTATTGAAAGATTTTCTCAAAATCTATGACAAACTAAGATTACTTTTTCCTAATTTAAAGTATTACATTGGAATGTTTCTTTTTCAATTTTAAATAACAGATTTAAGATCGTTATAACAGGGTTCATGTGGTGCTTAAGAGTCCTTAATTTTGGCCCAAATTGGCAGAAGGTCCTCAAGTTTAATCATCTGAAATTTGTCTTTTATGGCTGCCATTTTGAGTGTAAATTAGCATTTTGGAGGGATATTTTTGGCAATCCACTGACAAATATGGTTATCTTTTGAATAAGTTATATTTGTTCCTGTTTCGAATGTAAATGGTGGGATACATGAGTTTCATAGTGAAAGAAGTGAAGCATATGTATTTTGAAATTATTTCATTTTTCCTAATGAAAAACTGTTATACATGAGTTTCATAGTGAAAGAAGTGAAGCATATGTATTTTGAAATTATTTCATTTTTCCTAATGAAGAGCTGTTAAACAACTTTTTGCTTTTGGGTATGTGAATTCTTTTATTTTAATAAACCATTTATGGTTCTAAATTTGATGACGTATAAAATTTTGGTTGATTTTAAGATCAATCTCTATAGAAAATTTTTAATTCCGAAATCTGGGAATTTTTCGACACTTTTTTAAAACATTGTAAAATTGATAACCATCATTAAAACAATGGTAATATGCTGAAATTATATTTAAGAAATAGCATTAAAATGAAAAATTTTTAATTTTTGCTGTCCTATTATAAAGTTCCATTTTGGCCACATATACAATATTTTGAATCTGTAAAATAAACAATGTATAGTGCTATAAAACACAATTTACGAAAAAGTTCATAGCAAAAGCAAAATAGCTATGCAATTAATTAAAGATGTTTTTTTTAGTTTTTTCATGGTAAGAGATTTTCCCATGTAATTGTCTCAAAATTCTTAGAATATGCATCAATTTTATCTATGAAATTAATTTTACACTTTTTCCTTCCGATTTTTTTTTTTTTTTTTTTTTTCCAAAATATAGCTGGCTTTTTACTGTTACAGAATTGGTAGGGGTAATTTTTCTTTAGGATTTTAGACATTGCAGCTTGGAAAGTTTAGAAGGATTTGAAGGTAAGATTTTTATTCCACGATTCCAGAAGATTCCTGAAAAATGTCTCCATGGTATTAACAAATGATGGATGTAATGTACAGAAAGTTTGCGATGAATTTCTTACTTTTTGGAGAACATCTGGTAGCACAATGAAAACATAATATTTGAATGTTTTACTTCTGATACTAGAATCTTTTTCATCTTCTCATCAGGGTTGCCACGCTACCTGGAGAACCGGGAAAAGTCAGGGAATTCGAAAATTGACCAAAATATTCAGGGAAAAGTCAGGGAATTTAAGTATTTTTTGTCAAAATCTGGAAAGTCAGGGAAGTTCATACAACGATCCCGCCAAAAAAAGCGATTTTGCGCCACGTCGGAAGAGAAACTTTTTTGGCGAATTATGTAACGTAGTGTCATCGGGTAGCTGGCATAGACCCATTTTCGCAGCCAATTTGATTGTCTTCTAAAAACCAAAGCAACTTTCCCGCAAGTTTTGGTTTCCAGTATTCTCAGAATCGCATGTGCAGTGCATGAATTAAAGAAGTACCTGTTCTCGTAAAACAAATGGGTTTAATCCTATATCGGTACCATGAGGGTAGAATCAAAGAATAAGTTGTAAAGAAGGAAAACCTCTCTGCAACAGACGTGGCTGTGGCTCCGTTCATCATAGAGGAACAGCTGTGCATGTCTGATATATCTGCCAAAAGCTCGAAACCGGTGTCGAAGTTCGAAGGTCACGTTTCAGAGTCATAAAATGAATATCGTTTAAAATTTCTTTAACACTTGCGCTAAAAAGACTGCCCCACAGTCGAGATGCTTTGTCTCAAACCGCGAGCGACGTGAACACCACGTCGATAGTCATTTATTGCAAAAATGAAAATAACGTGGTGCAAACGTCGCCTAACTACGAGATTGTTTATTTCTTGAATTACAGCTCTGATTTGCACTCACAGACGCGGAGCGGCATAAATGAGACACTTTATCGCTTGTTATATTGTAGCTCACGGCACCGCAACCGTGAAGTTTAGTCTAGCGCAAGGTTTTAAACTGTAAAGGAAAAGAAAATAGTTTTTGGTGCAAGTAAATTAATTCATGGATTAGTTATTTTCAGGAAAAAAAAAAAAAAAACTACGAAAATCCTTTTTAAAATTATGCGAAAATCCAAGAAGAAACGCCCTTTGATAAACGTTTCTTCTTGGATTTTCGCAATAATTTAAAAACGGATTTTCGTAGTTTCTTTTTGTCCAAAGCGTTTCTTCTTAACACTGTTCTCAATTCCGTACACATCGTGAGAGGGAAATTCGGCCGCCAGGTTCCGCCGCCAAATCCCTTGGCAAATTTCCCTCCCATTCTAGCGGCGTAATAGCGTTTCCTTGTATGGAACCTTTTCTTCTTACATAGACGTTCTTTGGTTAAATAATAATAAGATTTGGCGACATCATGATGGCAGAACGGTCATTTTGTCTTGGCGACATTTTCAAAATCGTGCCAAGCCTTACCGTATACTAGAATTTACCGCAAATCTTTTTAAACCTTTTTTTTTTTTTTTTTTTTCTTTTTAATAAATACCTTGCCATTTTGCAGTAAATAAAAAATAGTAATCAATCATCTAGGCTAGCCATGTAATATAACTATATTTGCTAAAATATCGTTGATTATTATAATTCAATTTTTAAGTAATTATTTTATGTTATTCATATAATTTAATGTGCTTCTTTCCCTCTAATTTATTTATTATTAGAAATAATATTTCCAAATTTCAGGAAATTTTCTCTGCATAATCCTGAAATTAATTATAGCAGTATGATGACATAGCATCACGAATTTAATGTACATATTTTCCTTATGTATGCTGCGAAATTAATAAAATACCTCAATTTATTAAAATAGATTTCTTTCTTTCTTTTTAGCTGCAAAGTGTCTGCAAAAAAAGCCCTTATTTATTCCAGATTGGGAAATTCTAATCTCAAACTTCAGTGGAGAAAACAAAAACTATATAATGTATTTGTGTTTTCAAGGTGTTAAGTGCCTTTTAAGACATCCCACGCAAATTAAATTTACCTAAAATCGAACCTAACTATTTACATTGCGTTGTGATTTAAAGGACCGGATTAGCCTCGTGTTGAACTGGTGATGATCATGAGTATTAATTAAAAACATTACATTTGTTATCCAATGTATATATCTTAAATTTTTAAGTTTCTTAAGTGGAAAACTAAACAAATTATCAAAGTATACCAAGAATATTAAGATAAATCCTGGGATTATTGAATAATTAAGTAATTTGCTACACAATACAAGTAATACATAATTAATTTACTTCTTAGCACAGCCAACGTACATTATGCGGACAGACTGGAATTTTCTTGAAACACACCTGGAAAACCTGGAAAAGTCAGGGAATTTCATTCTTCTGTTTGAGTGGCAACCCTGTCTCATTATTTTCTCTACTTTTCACTAAACACAAGCATGAAAAATATCAAAAATGCTTCTAATCATATCACATGGACATGCATTATAGAAGAATTTTTTTATTAATAAAGAAATTGAAAACTGTCAATTTAAAAGGTTCATCTAATATGTTTTCATGCCACAGGGCTGATGCTAGGCATTTCCCCACCTGATGCAATCTCTGTGGATCCTAAATTCTGCTGCCTTTCTGAGTTCTGCTTCCAGTGTCTGCTCTAAATTCTAAAAGTTTTGCCATTTATAGATTTTTGTTGCTCAGTGTGTCATTAAATTCTAAAAATTGTGCCACACCAGCTCTGTAACCGGCTCTTACCCTATATATTCCATATTTCTTCTGAATGTTCATATTACTAAAGAAATAAAATTAGCAGCTGTTTCTATATACTCTAATGCATTTAGTTTTTTTAGAATAACAGAAATGTTTAATTAAATCCAAAAATTCTAAAATGAAAGGGAAACATGTTGAAGAAAGAAACTGAATACATAAAGAGAAAGAAAATTATTCTTCAAAGATATGTACAGATGGAGGACAGAATAATACGAACACCTATGAAATAATGGAAAATCTTTATTAATAGGGGGTTGGACTACCTTTTGACTGAAGTACAGATTGAATGCGACGTGGGATAGATGCATAAAGGTCGTGGACAATATTTAAAGGAATATTAAGCCATTCCTCCTGCAAAGCGGTCTCTAATTCTGAAAGTCCGGATGGAGGTGGAAATCGGGAACAAAGTTTGGACTCTAAATATTCCCATAAATGTTAAATAATATTCAAGTCCGGAGACTGAGGGAGGCGAAGCGAGATGTTCAATTGCATTGTCTTGCTATTCGAACCATTTTTGAATACACCTAGCAGTGTGGATAGGGGCGTTCTCGTCTTGAAAAAAGCG